GAGGCACTAAATATTGAGGGTCAGCCCAACTGCCACTTTGAAATATTTTTTAAATAGACGTCAGTTTTTATATTTATAATATCATGGTATTAAATTAAGTAACCTCTAAAGTTCCTTGTAGGCCTATAAATCTGTTTCTTTGAAATAAGTTTTTATACTGACCGAATAAATATTATTACCATTCTGTTTAGCCCTTCTCTCTGATGTTATATTAATATCCAATTAATATAAAATAATTTACATTTATTTATCCAGCCTTTACATTCCATGTTACTACATAAAGTTAGGGATTATCAACTGAAAATGCTCTAACTTTAGTCAAGATTTTTCTCATTTAGGTCAAGCTTAATTCTGTTAAATGAAATAATGATTTATCTTGGTATCCACTAGAGTTTGTGCAAGCGATAGGAAAATAGGAAAGTGAGAAGTATAGAAATACAAGGAACAATTAAATTAATACTAGCTTTCATTTTAATTAAAAAGTTTTAATTCCTTTCAACTTCTTTTTGATAGTTTGGGGCATGTTAGTGCAAAAGCAGCTCAACAGAAATAACCTATGCCATCATTATTTCAGCAACAGAATTTATTAGATAGAGCCATGATTTAAATCCATATAATTGCCCTTGCTCAGTGGTTCTCAACCTGTGGGTCGCGACCCCTTTGGGGGTCGAATGACCCTTTCACAGGGGTTGCCTAAGACCATCGGAAAACACATATATAATTACATATTGTTTTTGTGATTAATCACTATGCTTTAATTATGTTCAATTTGTAACAATGAAATTGGGGGTCACCGCAACATGAGGAACTGTACTAAAGAGTCGTGGCATTAGGAAGGCTGAGGACCACTGCCCTAGCTGGTTTGCCTCAGTGGCTAGAGTGTCAGCCTGCAGACTGAAGGGTCCCAGGTTCGAATCAGGTTAGGAGTACGTGCCAGTTCCGGAAATGTAGGAAGCAGCCAGTCAATGATTCTCTCTCATCATTAATGTTTCTATCTTCTCTCTCCCCTGATTCTCTATCATCATTGATATATATCTATCTCTCCCCTCTCCCAAATCAATAAAATATATATATTTTTTTAAAAAAAAAACAAGAAAACAAGGGCAAGAAGGGTTGACATTTTAAATAAATAAAAATAAATAAATAAATAAAAATCCATATAATTAACTGGCCATGTCTCATCTCATTCATGACTTTAATAAAGAGATATCCCAAATTAAATTATTCTCTGGATCATTATATTTTAAAATGATATATATTCTAAAATTGGCCATGCCAATACTTTAGGATTAAAGACAAATCCTAATAAGGTATTTTCTTACTTACAGAAGTTGGTTCAAATTTTCAAGTTGAAAGTAAAAATCTTTTTAATGTCCTCCTCCAAATCATAACTACCAGAAACAATCTATAACTTTACTAATATACACTGAGTGGTATTGGTTGGAAGATAGTTTCTAAGTAAAAAGTTCTTTTTCTATTATTGATGCCCATACTTTTTAAAAAGTGGCATAATAAAATCAGGTTAAAAATGTTTGTCTCTCAGGGTAATTAGGAGTAAGTTAGATAATTCTAAAAATAAAAGAATTCAGGCCCTAAGGCAAACAAACAAACAGAAAAATTTGTTTAATCTACATAATCTAAATCAATAGAAAATATGGCAGGGGACAAGGATGGGAGTCTACATTAGTCATTTCATAGGTGAGAGTCTAAATTTTCTTAATTTCTAGTTCCCCAGAAAGCCACTGAACCTCTCCAAACCTGAGTTCTCTTATCAATAAAACAAACACACAAAATATAAACCTTTTCTCAAAAATTTTTAGCAAACATTTTGTAATAAAGAGAAATGTGAATGCATATACCCGGTGATATAGTCACTTACCTTTATGTGGCTTTCACAAGCCTAAACTTTCTTTGAAATTTCATATCTTTAAAAAAATTAATTTCAGGTTGGATTTCTACTCTAAAGCCTGTATGTTTGCTTCAATAAAAACATAACACAACTACTTATTATTGGCAAGAGGAATAATTTTTACCTTGTTAGCCGTCCAAGTGATTTTACAGTGAGCTCAGTTTTGAAAAATTAGACTAAAACAAAGCAAATCAACAACCCATATTGTATTTGCTTTCAGGCAATGTCTTTTTTAAATGATATTTCTAGAATTCAAACTGTTATTAAAAAGCTGACTACAAACAGCAGTGATTTCACTGTTTTTAGGACACATACTGGTAATTAATCCCTAAGGATAGATTCTCCAGTAATTAACCCCTAAAGAACGATTCCTAGATGCTGCAAAAGAAGTAATACAGTGCAATATTTTCAGACTATTTTTAATAAATGTTTTGTTAAATATTCTAGCTGGGAGGCTGAATAGAATATTGAAATGATTTTGATCCTCTAGTTTATATCTTTTAAAATCTCAGTAAAATGCTTGTAGAAGGATTTCTTCAAGATAGAAAAATTATTAGTGATAACATTTCTTGTTTTGCAACTGACATTTTATTTTTCAGTATATGTAAATAATTAATAATTTCAACCAACTCATAATCCTTACAGTTCTTTATACTTGTTTATAAAAATGTCATTAATATTGCAATGATCCTATATGTAACAGAAACATTTGCAGTTTAACCTCTCTTAGTTACTGATAGAGAATGTTAGCCTCAGAGAAATGTATGTATAAAATTAGCTAACATCTGAGGCTCTTACAATTATCATGAAGATCAAATTAATTCATTTTATTCAAATGCTAATCTTTTGTGATTTCTCTTATTCTGTTCCATCATAGTTGATTATTAAGGGTTGACTAGAATAAATGGGAGCATTGCATTTCAAAATCTATTCATTTAACTTTTCTCTACTTCTCAAATTTTTGTTTATGAGACAAATTTTTTCAGATTCTCTTTGAAAATGTTTAGTATTTGGAATTATTACCTGTTTTAGGAGCCACAAAAATATTACATGACAACTCTGACTTTGATAACCACATTGGTTTTCTAAAGTCTTCCTCTTATGATAGTTTCAATTTGCAAAATCCAATTTATATGCAGAAAATTGATCTCAAGCATTAACAAATGAGCTGTCTACTCCAAAAATCTATCTTTAAATTAGTATTATAGTTTTTTTTCATGTTTAGTGTTCAATGGTGACTATTTTTTCTCTCTTATAATTCATATAATAACAAAATTTATTTAAGATGGAGAGATAAAGAGATATATACATATACATATAATCTAATAAGCATCAATTTTTGTCCTACCCATTTATTTCCAGGCCTATTAAGGAAATACAACCTTAAACTATAAATTAGGAACTGTGGATGTTGTTCCTTGATTTGTCATTAATATTCTGTGTAACCTTGACTAAGATACCTTATGTTGCTAGACTTGATGTAATTTTAAGCTCTCTGGAAATTAAAAAAATATATGTAGAAAGTGGTATTCACTTGTTACTGAAAATCTTCATAGTTTTTGAAAGTTTTCAGAAAGCAGCATGAGGCATTACTAGACTATACTTTCATTGGAAACTGCATAGTTTATCTTTGTAATCAAGATATAGTGAGTCTCCCTTTAAAAAGGGAAACAACTTTTGGTATGAAAATGTTCTCTGAGGTCAAAGAAAATAGCACAAGAGAATTACTAGGAACACATTGTCTACACAAAGGTCCTATCTTATAGCGGGTAGCCATTCTACTTAGTTTTCATTGTTTCTAAATTTGAGAATTCTGTTTGACTAAGCATGAGAATTGGTGATTATTATTTGGGCATAAATTTAGTTAATGCTGAAGAATTAGTAAAAACTATTTATATTAACTAAAACCAGAAGTTGACATTAAAATTCTTATGTGCCAAGATGCTTTTTTTTTTCAAAGTGATAATTCAATTCTTAGTTTTTTTCCTAAGTAATCTCCATATACTATCTGAGATGTCCTAAAAAGGATAAAACAATCTGTAAGTGTGCCAAATATAATTTTGTAGTGAGGTCAGGTTTCTTTTTTTCAGGGGATTTTAACACACAACTTGACATCATGTTGATGCTTCTCTGCTGTCTCCTAGTACAAGCAGAAGCATTCCAGCTAACTTGACCTGTGCAGTCTGAAGGGAGGCTGTCATTCTACACATGTACGAATCCACTTGATCGGAAGCTTCTTTCCCCTTCTCCCTCTCTTTTTTCATTTTTTTTCTTTTTGTCTTCCTCTTTAAACAAAATATTTGTTGTTACAGCTCTACTAAAAAGCAAATGAATTTCTAGTTTATCCCTCATCTGATAAAACATTTTGTGTTAAGAACCTTCTTTTTCTCATTTATGTAATGATATAAAACAAGTTTTTAAAATGGCAACTTTATTTTCCCCTATCTTACCTAGGAGGAAAATTCTACTGAAATACAGAAATCTTTGAGGGAGTGACTATATCTGACATTGGTCTGGCATTAAAATTTTCTGGTTGGGCAGCACAATTGTTTAATTGGGAATCTCAGTGACAGCTGAACAACCTCAATGCTTGGGTCAGCAAGCGGAGGATCTTCACTCTGTCACCTATTAAGAATGATGCTTGTCAGGACTGATCTTTCCACTTGGGGAACATTTATGTTTCTAATCATATCATTAATGTTTTCTGATATTACAATGGAATAGATACTAAAACACTGAAAGAAACAAAGTTCTATGCATAGGTATATTTGTAATTCTTTGTTTTTCATAAACCAAATGAAAATGTAACACTACTCCAGATATTGCTTCATCAGAAATCCCCAAGATAACAGAAAGTAAGTGCACATTTCTTCATCAGGAATAGTGCCATAACGATGATTGCATTCTACTGACCAGCCTATTTGCAGAGCATGTCATATAGCCTCCGGGTTAGTTAACTCCTTGACCTCCTAAGAGGTACCTCAAAGAGTCAATTGATGTTTTTGCATGTATTATTTACTAATGCGTAGAAAAATTTTTAAGTTCACTTTTTCTTTATTCTGTCTTTTTTACCCATCTTCCCTCATTGTAGCAAATTAGACGGCCGGATGAAAGCAAAGGAGTTGCTAGTAGAGTTGGATCCCTCAAAGTAAATATGTTTCTAACATTTTTTGGCAAGATTTTGTCTATAGCCTACACTTCTTCCTTTTTGGCGGGTGGTGGGAGGAAGGGAGCTTTTTCCATTTTTCACCATCCCATTTTTTTTATTTTAATATTTTTATTGGCTGTTGGGTCATATTTTTTGTTTGTTTCAGCTACATATAGAGCAACCAGCTGAAGGCAAGCTGACAAATAACTAGCTTTGAATGGCACTACAGACAAGAAAAAGGGCAACTGCCTCACTACAGGTGCCATAATTTGGGGTTCTAGAGTAAACCGTTCCTCTGACTGATGTCACTATGTGTTGAGTTCCTGTTACACAGAGAACTAATATTTATTTTCAGAATATTATCTTCCCTGTTTATGTTTTTTATTAAAAATAATTAAGTATTATTTTGGTGTTATTACCATTTATAGTTTATTCCAGAAAAATAATTATGAATTAATAACATATTTTATACATATATAAAAATCTTAAGAATTAGAAATGTTATATGATGCTGGTATAATGGGCTCACATATAGCTAACAGTATTTAAGCACTCAATCCCCTTTATTTTATTTTTTAAATTAAAAAATTGATATAACAATCAGCAGAAACAATATACATCTAATGTTTGCCCATTTTTGTATGTGATTTGCTAATTTCCAACTTAAATATTTCTGATCTGATGGTCCCATTTTCTAGTTGTTAAATATCTTGGGTACTTGATACTCTAACATTTAGTCACAATGAATAGGTAAACAAGTTATCAATCCTAGGAAACACAGACATAGTTAAAAGTTGCATTGATAATTTTTAATGCTGCCCCCATAAATGTAAGATAAAATTTGAATTTTTAAAGCCCCCCCCCCCCCCCCCCCCCCATATAACAGCTTCTTATATCTCAATCCCATTTGTTCTTGCAACAGTAGTAACTGTTAAACTAATCAAAATGACAGATAATTCATTGCACTGGGATGTTTCCAAAATTCAATAACTATGTAGCGGTTGCCAACCGGTGGTTTGCGGACCACTGGTGGTCCGTGAGGTCCGAAAGGTTGGTGACCGCTGGTTTAGATTCTAGAGGCCTAATATTAAGTTATTTCAAAATTTTACACATCTTCAATTTATTTCCATTTAACAATTTATTAAGCACTAATTTCTGCACTTTTTCCTCTCCTTGCCTCTTCTGCCTTCTGAATTTTACTTTTTTTGTATTTGTTTATTTATTTGTGTGTGTGCCACTCGTGTGATTGCACATGGATGAAGGTGTGTCTGTACGTTTGTGTCCTTAATTCCAGACAAATCACCCTCTCTGTTCTCTAACACTGCTATATACTGGGTATCATTTTTTAAAATGTTATTTCACTAAGGATAGTCAGAGGAGATAGGAAGTGTTGATTAAATTTCTATTTCAAAAATGAGGCAAGTTAAAATTATTCAGTCACAAATATATTAGTTTATGTATCCTGATGATTATCAGTAACATTCCTCACTGTCTACTGTGAGGTATCATATTTTACCTTTGTCTTTAAGGAAAGGTAAATCTATAATCATTTAGACTATGGATTATGACTCACACTCAAATGTGCAGAGCAACATAACTTTGGAGAAGTTATTGATAGTGAAATAAAGATCAAATAGCATCCCTGACTGCAGCACCATCTGCTATAAACTGGATTGATGTGTGAGTATGTGTGTGTTTAATTATCTCTATGTTCAGCTTTTGTGTGTATAGAACTTCAAGTTATAATTGTATGTTTGTTGTTTTTAAGTATATATACAGTATGATTATATATATATACACACATTATTTATAAGAACAAAAGATAGATATTTGGGTTCAGTCAGTTTACTTTAATGTGGATGCAGCCTTAAATCAAAAAGTATATTTGGGAAAGAAAGGTAAATTTCATAATTTTTAAATATTTTTACTCCGTATTTCTACCAAATAGAAAAATCTTAAGTGGATCTCTAGAGGATTAAAAGGGTAGTTACAGTATTTCTTTTCTCTAATGCTTTGGGGAGACAAGATGCAATAATTAAAATATTGGCTTCCCTAGTCACAGCTTTATTTAGCATGTATTCTTGTATTATACAAAGATCTTTGATGTGTTGAAATGTTTGCCAAAGGCAGTGAGAAATGTGCAATGCTGTGATCTTATTTTTAAAAGAAAAACTGAAAAGAGAACAAGTTGCTTTTTCAATTCATTTTTTGATGTTTACATGTAGCTCCATCGAAAGCTGGATGAGCTCAGAGATCAGCTAGAAGGCAATGTGAAAGGATACTCTCTCAGAGTACATGTACGATTTTACTCGGTGATTTTTTTTCCCCTTAACTTCTGCTGACTGGTAATTCCAAATCTGATTGGTTTGTCCTCTCATCTCCATTTTTGTTTACTTTTTTTCTCTTTTCTCCCTCTTTTCTAGCTGCAGCTTCATGCTCATGTTTATGAAATGCAGGGTAAATTGGCAGAGCAGAGGACCCTTAAGCCACACTAGCATTGAGGTTGATTTAATAACATTCTGGATTCATTACAAAATAAAAACTTCCTTTGCAAAATCTGTGTTTCTTATACAATTATATAATTTTCTGAGGATCTTTTCATGAGACTTCATTTGGAGCTTTTCTGTTGACTGTCTCTTCTGTCCCCTGTTAGATGTGTCAACAGGATTATAATTTATGGGCTGGATCCAAGTGATAGAGCCTTTATGATTCGATTTCAGTTGTCAAGGAAAATGATCTATGTTAGAGTATAGGTAGGTATTCTGGCAAGTAGACTTTTTTCTGAATTAATAGACTTTTCTCAACTCATATTCTTTAGGATTAACTGTAAGATATTTTTTGTTTAAAAATAAAATAGTAAGCATCTTTACAAGGAACACCATCATGTAACATCTTACTTGAGATAAAGGATAATATGCTTAAGATAACACTTTGAAGGAGAACAATACCTTATAGTCACTCAGTACTGTGCATATAGTATATAATCAAAGGCAAAAATAGTATTTTGTGACCAGTAGTTCAGACTCAGAATACTTAGCTCTTCTACTGAATATATATTTCTAAGATAAATGGAAGTAAATCTCAAAAATGGTATATGATATAAATATGGCAAAAGAAAAGCTAAATTATTGTTGTATAGTAAAACCTCGATATAACAGATTAATTCAGGAGAGGGAGTGTTCATTATAGCTGAAAGTCCATTATATAATAAAGAAGGTTTTCTAAATGCATGTTAAAAACTTGACAAATTAGTTAGTTTACTTGTTTTTACTTGTGTGGACATATTTGTGTAATCAAAATTAAGTATGTATGAAAAGTTTAATTTCACAGAAAACTTTTCTAAATGTATACTGTAATTTTAATTTTAAACTGAGTAAGTTTAGTAAGTGCATGCATTCATCAGTCATCACAAGTAAACAAATGCACAAAGCTGGGTTGGGGACCCTATTCAGATTATGCCGGATGCTCAAGGCCAGTTAAGAGTGTGAAGGCCCTATTCAGAGCATGCTGGATGTCCAAGAAGGTTCAGCCCCTGGCAGAGAGGCGCGGATCCAACAGTTGGCGTAGTAGGGCAGGATCAAGACCTATGCCCCCAACATATGGTGCAGCAAGCACAGGATAAATGAGGAGCTGAGTTCCCAACAGTTAGTGCAGCCAGCAGGGTTGGAGGAGGAACTTGCTCTGACACTGGGGCATGGCTTAGCACAAGTCCAGCCATCAGCAGGCATGCATTAAAACTGCTGCAGAAAGTCTTGCCACAGGACAACAGAACCAAGTAGCACAAGAGCTGCGGGGTGGTCACGTGCTAATCATTCGTTGAACATTGTTTATGAATGTTGGCTCTTGGATTTAAATATGTAGACTATAGTTGTAGGTATGTAATATTTATTTATGTCAGTGAAATTACTACGGTGTTTTTCCATCGTATGGCCTATTCACTAAAATTTGTTTTAAAAAAATAGCAGTGAATTAATAACAAAAATAAAAAATAATAATACGTTAATTTAATTATAAGCAAATCTTGGGTAAAAACATTTTAAAGTTATCAGTGTTAATATTCACATATGATATGCGGTCTAGAAATTTTGTCCATTAAATTGAGGTCTGCAAAAATCAAGGGTTTACTCTAAATAATTCTGGCTCTATTTAGCCCTGACCTCCCATTCCTAAGGCTTTTTAAAAAGTGCCTATGAATCCTAGCCCTGACTTCTCCCAATATTAGTGCTATACATTTAATTCATATTGCTATGATAGTTTTTGTTATACAGGGTAGAATGAAAAATAATAGTGATATAATCTCAGCTTGTTTTTAATTAGATACCATATATAGTTATTTATATCTCTATATTAAGTTTTGATTACTGAAGTCCAAAATTGTTTTTACTAATATCAGTAATTAAATTATAATAGCTAAACAGAGAAGGAAAGTATAACAAGTGTTTTCTACTTCTTCCTTTGGAGCCAGTGCTGCTTTTCTATTTATATTCTTATTGAAGTTAAAAGATCATCCACAATCGCCCTCAGAATGTGTTCCACTGTTTAAAAAAAAATTAGCATGAACTCTATGTCTAAATCAGTCTAAAGATACCTGGATATTATTCTAAAAACCACTAAAGATATTCTGATTATATTAATTAATATATGTATTTAGTGTCATACTCTTCCTTAATCAATCATGAGAGCTGATATTCTTTTTCTTTCAATAAAACTAAGACTAGAAAATTGAGACTTGTTCACGTCAACTTGGTGGGGAGTTAGTGTTATGTTAGGATTAAATGAAAAGTTCTGTACTTTGCAAATTAGTTTATCTCATGTCATTCTTTGATTTCTTTTTTCAACACCTATACTGCGTAGTATAGTACATAATGACCAGTCTCAGTATCTTCATCTTTTGTTTCATTTCATGGGGCCGCACTTGTTCTATATACCTTTTTTTTTTTTCTGCAAAGATTGAATAGAGGTATATCATTCTAAGATTTCTGTTAACAGAAGAGTAGAAA